ATTAAAATAATTAAAAATTAATGTTCACTTGATCAATATCACTTTGATAGTTTACATGGGAGAACATTAGCTTTACATTCATCCTGTCGTATATCATTTCATTGCCATGGTTACAATCCCCTCCATACATCAACAACCAGCCAAAGGGTATACACTACAAGCCTGCCCCCCGGTCGTCAGCATACAGCCCATTTCCCTATCTGGGGCTAAAATTGATCAATACTTTTTATATTTCATGTTTGATACCAGAATGATGTTAGATGCTAGAAAACCCACTTTTAACTGTCTTCAAAAAGCACATGATTTGTTTATAAATGTGCAAAGTCTAGAGGTAGAGTGAGCTTCAGAGATATTTGAGTCAGTAACTCTCAGATGCAGTTCTGTCTCTTCCCCCTCCTGGACTGAGTGCTGGCTTTCTCCTTGGGCTGGTTCTTTTTCAAGGATGATGGACAGCAGTGGAGCAGCTGCTTGCTACCTCATTCTAGTCTCATGAGGCTGAGAGGCTGCCTTTAGCCATCCAACACCGGTGAGGGGACTATCACCTGTTGACAAGTTTTAGTCTATGTGAACCTATAACTGCTAAGGGAGTTGATGTTTCCAACTGTCTTAAGCCAGTCAGTCTTGGATCCTAGATCTGGAAATGGGCTCAGGCCCACCCAGATAGCTTGGCATGTATACAGTCAAGGGGGAGGAGTCATTTCCCAAAGGAATTCTGGATGTTGTTGGAAAGAGGAAATGGATGCTTTTCTACAAGTGGTTTTTGCTTCTTGCTTTGCTGACGTGTAGTGTCTTCTATCTTTTTTTCATATTTTGCTTTTTAATATGTATTATGATTATGGCTGATTATCTAATTTCATTGGTTTTTTGCCCATCTCATTGACCTTTTTTTAGATTAAGAAATAACCTTATTTTTAGTTTGTCATTCCTAGCATTGAAAAGACAGCTTTGCTCTTTAGTAGACAAGAGGCATAATCTGAAATAAAGATCTTTCTGAAAAAGCGTTTGTAGTTTTTGTACTGCAAGTCACAGAAGGACCACAAAAGCTGAACCCACATTTAAAACAGGTAGGGCCAGATTAACTAGGCAGCAAGGTAAGCACAGGCTTACTTGTGTCTGCTTACTAATCTGGCTTACTTACAAATCTATACTTAAATACAAGTAAGCCTATGCTTAGCTTGTTTAATGGGTATGCGTACTCTGTCTCTCTCGGGGATTGCACATTTGAAAAGAACAGTATCTTTGATGTGGCGAAAAAATATTAAGTTGTCCAGATTAGTTAGTACAGAAAGCCTATGCTTGCTATGCTTATTGGGTAATCAGACACTGAAAACAGGTGTAACACCCTACCCCTAAGCTTACTAGCAGACATTTTTAAGTGTATCAAAATCATTTCATCCATGGAATAACAGTTACCTCTTGTACTTTCATTATAGAAGTCCTAGTGTGGTGCTGTAGGATAAGTATTGGACTGCAATGTCAGTTTGAGCCACAAGATTGGTTCAAACCCACCAGCAGCACCTTGGAAACCCTATATTGGGTCACTGTGAGTTGGAAGCGACTCAATGGCACTTAACAACAACATTCCTTATAAGATAGCAATTTGAAATGTCCCATTTTCAATAAAGTGCTGACAAATTTAATGAAAGGACTGTTAGAATTAACTCTTACAGTTTAGGTCTAGCTTTTCCTTTAAGCAACAACATCTCTAGCTAATAAGATGAGAGAATTGCATTTGCAGAGGATTCTGTCAATTAAGCACAGCATGGAATAGAAAAGAGCTGGTGTTTACCAAGGGCCTAGAAGAGTACAGATGATAGGCACTTCATAAACTTGTCAATGCTCAAGAAACCAGAGACACATTTTAGTGGGTCTCCTAGACCTGTGAGCTTTGTGCTTCTGGAAAACATCTCTGACTTTTTATAAGGCTTCTTTGTCATATCTTCAAATGCTTCTGTTGAATTTATTTTGGTATCTAATGTGTAGTTTCTAACACCACTTCTCTTCTGTCCCTTTGAAACTTATTTTTTAATACAGTATTCTATTCTTTTATGGATGCAATCTATTTCTTACTTTTGAGCATGTATTTTGATGCTATTTATATGCACTTTTCCTTATGTTTCTTTCCTTAGTGTCCCTTTTACTGCTTGTTGTGACATCTGTCTTGTGTTTGTTTCCTCAAATGCCCAACATTCTTTGGCTGAACAGGAAGGTATATTGGAAGCTTTGTGCATGGGGTGAGCCTTATAGAGCTGTAAGTTTTTTATAAGGTACAAAAGTGGTGACTTGGTTGTTAAGTTTGGGGTTCCACCAAATATCATTCTTTGTTGGGCTTTTTCTTTAGGGATAGGGCTGTTAAGTCTTGGGAAGATGTTCTTTTCTGCTTGGAGATTATTCTGGGTGCTGAAATTCTCAGATCTGAGCAGGTACAGGGGATTGAGGATCGATCCCACCATTCACTATGAAGGTTTTCACTTAATTGTCTTGCTTCCAATCCTAAACCTTACTACGGTGTTAGTGAACGTGAAACTGGAAATTCCAATGTAGTTCTTGTACACTGGGGTGATTTTTGCCTTGCAGAGGACATTTTGAAGTCCTTGTGTGGCCCTGTAGGGCAATGCACTGGACTGTAAGGTCAGTTTGAACTGTAAAGTCAGCAGTTCAGACTCACCAGCCACTCCTCAGAAACTGTATACAGGATTGCTATGGGTCGGAACCGACTTGATGGCACTTAACAACAACAACAGATTGTCACAACGTAGTGAACAGTACTACTGGCATCTAGCAGGTAGAGGCTACGAAACACCGTAGAATGCACAGGACAACTCCATGACAAAGAATTATCTAGTCCAGAATGTCAGTAGTGCAAATCCTGGTCTCCAGGATTATCATTTTGGTCTCATGAGAGTTTGTGGGGTGAGTATCCATTTAGCCTTTTGTCACTGGTGTCTGAAAATAATTCTTGAAATTTGTCAGCTATCAAGGGGCTTTTGCTTTATAAAATCGTCCGGGGATATTTGAATTATGCTGTTGGATTACCTGAAGAATGAATAAATTTGTCTTTGAAGGAGGTGCAGCCAGAATGCTCTTAGAAGGAGGATGGGAACACTTTGTCTCAGATACTTTGAAGGTGTTATCAGGAGGGATGAGGCCGTAGAGAAATCCATCTTGCTGGGTAAAGTAGAGGATTAGCAAAATGGATCCATCTTGCTGCGTAAAGTAGAGGGTTAGCAAAATGGATCCATCTTGCTGTGTAAAGTAGAGGGTTAGCAAAATGGAAATCTGAGTCGATGGACTGACACAGTGTCTGCAGTAATGTGCTCACACATGGCAATAACTGTGAAGATGCCATAAGACCAGGTGGTGTTTTTCCTGTTATTCGTAGGGTTACGATTAGTCTTAATCTACTTGATAACACTAAACAACTTAAACATGTAAATTAGCCGGGGCCTACACAGACCTCATTCTTGCAGTTGGTCTTATGCAGTTGGGAATATGATACAGTCATGAATATTCACCATGCATTTTCGTGGTTAGGAATCGGATTGTGAACCTCAGGGTCAGCAGTTAGAAACTACCAGCTGTTCTGCGGGAGAAAGATGAGGCTTTCTGCTCCTGTAAAGATTTACAGCCGCAGAAACCCTGTACAGGGTCACTATGAGTCGGAACTGACCCCACATACCCACCATCACCACCATCAGCTAAGCTACCTTGGACATTGGCGCTTAGAGCTTTCTTTTTGGCTTTAGAATGGCCAGACTATTCCATATACAGCAGAGAACATCTGTGCCTCGGCTCCTTCTCTTACAGCTTGTCTGCTGCATCTCTTCACTTATCTCCTTTTTTTGGTTGTGATAAATAGGTAACTGTAACTATAGGTAGTCTCTGTGAGTCATTCTGGTGAATTATTCAAACCCACCAGAGGCAGTGAGAGCTCTCAGAGAGGCTGGTGTTTGCCTTCCTGGCAAGGTTGGAAGGACAGCGTCTTGTGGAGCCCCAACTCTGGAGGGTTCCACTGATGTGACTGGTGTCAGCATGATGAGGTTGATATGGGTTCTCTTCACATTTTAGGAATTAGCCTTCCTTCTGTAGGTAGGTGGTAGGCTGGTTTGCAATTGTTTGCTCTGTATACATTAATTCAGTCCTCTTAGTTGTAGGACCTTTGATACTTGATGCTTTCAAGTTCCAAGCCTTGCAGGATTCTGTGGGGCATATTTACCACACTTCGTCTCACTGACTCGTTGGCACCTAACAACAAAAACAATCTCCCTGATTACACGTAGGTTAAAGCTACCTTAAGTTTATTTTACTAAGTTTGTTGTAATCTTCTCTCTGCTTTCTAGCTTCTCAAATTTGATTATGCACATGCGTTTTTTCCCCCTTGTATATAGGGATTCCCAATTTCAGAATGGAGGCCAAAAGGAAAACTTTCTGTTTATAAAGCAAGGAAGAAGAATTGATTTGTTCTTTGCAATTTGTATTTATTGCTTATTTACATTAGGCATCATTATCATCTTAGTGATAAACAGTGGTGATGAGCTTGTGTAACTATTGTAATTATTGAATTAGATTGACTTTTATAGACGATAAGAGAAAGCTTTAACTGGCATATTCCTATTAACATTTATTTTAGAGCGATGAATGGAAAACTCACTGTTCAAGAAGAACAGATTTTAGAATTGATTGAAAAAATTGGTGCCGTTGAGGAGGAGCTAAGTAGAGTAAGTACTGAAAGTATGTTGCAGTATAATCTTACTTTCATCAATGGTAATGAGGACGCTTGTCTCGGTTGACAATTTTATTAATGCAACATAGCAAGAAATTAACTGTGATTTTGTTGTTAAAGCCCTAAAATTGAAGATGCTGAGAAAATTTTATTAGCATGTTTATCAGATGAGAGAATTCAGGTATTAAATAAACTGGATGTCAAATAGAGATCTGACCCTTAGTTGCCACCTTCCATTAACACCTGCAAATTCAAATTCATTGGCAGTGTTGGAAAGAATAGGAAGAATTATTACCACACTATGTTTGTTATTTAATCTCAGGATTTTAAATGAATTTATAGGAAAAAAACAGCTGCTATATAAAATGTGCTAATATACCTGGCAACTTGTTAACTATTTTTGCCTACATTTAATTTATTTAGTTCCAACAAGAAAACTGTTATGGCGCTGTGGGTTAATACACCAGACTGCAAAGCCATTTGAACTTCAAGGTTGGTGGTT